GAGCTACAGTCCATGCGGTTGCAAAGAATCGGACATGACTGAGCGACCACACATACACACTGAGACCATCACGGGATCAGCAGGCGGTGCCTCTTTTTCATCTTCTCTTGTTCTCATTCAGGTGCTCAGTCATGTCTGACTCTTTGCGACCCCATGGACTGCAGCACACCAGGCTTCCCTGTCCTTCACCATCTCCCAGTTTTCTCAAACTCACGTCCATCGAGTCGGTGATGCCATCCAACCATCTCATCCCCTGTCTCCTTTTCCTCCTGCCTTCAGTCTTTCCCAGCATCAGGGTCTTTCCCAATGAGTTGGCGCTTCACATCAGCTGGCTAAAGTATCTTCTCTTGTAAGCCACCTCTGCGTGCCCCTCTTGCCAACATTAGCTCCTCACCTTCATTGAAGTTGTGTATCCCCTCATTCACTTGTATTCATCAATTCATTCATTAAACATTTGCTGACTATTTTGTGTGAGACACCATATTAGTAAAGTCATTCCAACTACATATCATGTTAATAGAAATCCTCCAAACAACATTTAACTTAAGTAAAAGAAGTTTGTTTCTCTCTGTAGCAAAACAAGCCTGGAAGCCAGCAGCCCAGGCTGCTTCAGCCTCAGTTCATCCAAAGTCATTACCTTCTAGTCCAAAATGGCTGCTCAGTTCCAACCCTCACATTCACATTCCAGGCAGCAGGAAGGAGGAAAGGAAAAGGACCAAAAAAGGGCTGGCCATGGGATTCCTCCCACCTGAAATGTGCTGGGTCCCGCCTGGCCGACCCTGCTCACCTGTCAGGTGAGGCCCTCCAAATATCCTTCTCATGATAATGAAGGAGTTATCTGTACCGCTGTTTCTGCGCATCCGGGTCCCCATTAGATTGTGGTCTCCACGAGGGCTGGGACATCTGCTGCAGTCCCAGTGTGCTGCTGGGGGAAGCAGCGCCTCTCCCGGGCTGGAGGAGGGAGAGATGAGGCCCGGTGCTGGATCGCAGCCTGGGTTTTCTCCGGACTCTTCTTCCTCTTCTTGGTCATCAGACTCAGGCTAGTTTCGGTAGTGGACAGGGCTTCTAAGGGAAGATGGGTCAGCTCACAGTCCAGGGGTAAAATTATGCTTTCTGCTTGATTTCCATTACTCTAATGGTGACCCATTTTGTCTGCCTCACACCAGGCTGTCTTCAAGATGACAAGCAGACAGCGTCCCACTGGGTCACTGCTGAGTTCACAGAGCCCATTACCATGCTGGCCGTGGCGCCCAGCACAGCCTGTGCCAGGAAGCCAGAGCCTGCCATCTGGGGGTGTGGTCCTCCTCTGTCTGAACTCATCTGCTGGTCCCGGGGAGTCAGAGCACCCCTCTTCACTTCTGCCTCGCTGTGTCTGCGTGCTTCTGGTGCCCGCCCAACTCTTCCTGGCCGGGGTCACTGGGCACACCCAGGATTTGTAGTCTCCTCACCAGAAGCAGTGACAGTGGGTGTCTTCCCTAAGTGGAATCACAGTGACAGAGCGAGGACCCATGTTTGTATAGAGCATGTGTCTAATTATTTAATTAGACACATTTAATTTAATTAATTAATTAGCAAGTAGACTTGCTAAGAGCTTCCCAGGTGGCTCAGTGGGTAAAGAATCCACCTGCAATGCAAGAGACGCAAGAGTTTCGGGTTTGATTCTGGGTTGGAAAGATCCCCTGGAGGAGGGCATGGCAGCCCACTCCAGTATTCTTGCCTGGACAATCTCATGGACAGAGGAGCCTGGCGGGCTATAGTCCATGGGGTCGCAAAGAGTTGGACATAACTGAAGTGACTGAGCATACACGCAGCCTTCTAAGTGGATTCATAACACATGTAAAGACTGCTTATGATATTCCCTGGGACACGTGGAAAAAAGTGACCAGTGGGCAGGTTTTTGGCTTTTTGAAATGTTCTCGCTGTATCTACCAGTGCCCCTGCTCTTTGCCCTGGCTGCGTGCATGCTAAGTGCTTCAGTTGTGTCTGATTCTTTGTGACCCAAAAGACTTGTAGCCCACAAGGCTCCTCTGTCTGTGGGATTCTCTAGGCAAGAATACTGGAGTGGGTTGCCATGCCCTCCTCCAGGGCCAGGGCCCAAGCGTGCATCAGGGTTTGGCTTCCAGGAAGCTCTGGGGGCTGCTGGCAGGATAAAAAAGTCTGACAGCCCCTCTGAAGTGCATCACCAACAGGGGCTCACTCGTGTCTTGCTTGTCTGGGGGGCCACCTTCTCCCACTTAGGGACCTGGATGCTGGCTCTGTGGCCAGAGCATTCTGGACCCCAGGACTTCTGTTTAGAACTTCTGCTTCTTCAGGCAGACGAAGAGGTTCCTTAACAAAGTACATTGAGAGCGGAAGGGTCCTCAAGCTCTTGTCGATGGTAAGATTCGCTGAACATGGAAGACAGGAGAAGGCTGACATTAACTGCTTGTCTGGTGCACCAGGATGCATTTGTTCTTGGAAGAAAAGCCAGTATTATGAGTGACACGTGACTCTCCTGCTAAACCAGTCACTGTAGAGAAGTGGTGGCATTTCTCAGGTAGCCGGGGGCACCCCTGTCCGCGCCCCTGCCTGCTCCCCAATCTGATGAGAGGGCACCCCATTCTTCTCCGGCGAGTCGCAGAAAGCTACCCTTGGCTCTTCCGCATCTCAGCCGTCCATCTGCCCACTGCTGACAGCCTGCTAGAGTGGCAGTCCCCAAACCCCCTTCCTTCCCTCAAAGGAACACACTGGGTTGACCAGGCGCTTCCGAAATCAGTCTGTGATTCCACTTGGGACTGCCCCTTACTCCCCTCCCACCCCAGGCTGCCAAAATAGAAATGACTGGAAGTCAGCTGCGCCCTGGAGAACACACCCCATCTTTCCTTATCGCCCTTATCTCAGACACAGCCAGGTGCCCCCTGCGCCACCCCCCACCCTCCAGTAAGCCAGGGTGGGCACTCAGCACCCAAGCTTAGGGCTTTGCTCCTTCCTAACCAGCGAGCTGGCCTGGACTGGAGGCCTCAGGTGCCCTGCGTCCTTTACCATCCCTGCAGAAGCAAATGGCTCCCCCGGAGATGGTCCGAGCTTTCAGTACTAAGGTTCATTGGACTAAATGTAGGTGACACATGGGGTATCATCATCATGATTCTTTCTCCAGAATCCTGTTCACTCCAGAGTCCTCAATTAAGTCAATCAACCTAACATTCAGCTGGGCAGGTGGGGACACGGCTGCAGCCTCCTGGCAACTGGCTCGGCCACCGGCTGGCACCTTCCAGCAGGGGCCCCTCTGTCTGCCTCTGCCAGCCGCCACTGAGGACTTCAGAGGCCAGTAGTGTCCAGCCAGGTGGGAGCGGGGCCCAGGCAAATTTTCTCCTGATGGCTTCGTCCCTCCTCAGAAGCCTGGAGGAGTCCCTCCTGTGGGTCCCCAGCTGTCTTTGCAAGCGAGGGCTGGCCCAAGCTCAGGCGCATCCTGCAGTGAGCCACGGACGGCCGTGTTCCCAGGCGACTCTTTGACCACCTGTCCAGGGCAGCCTCACGCAGCTGTCGGCCGCAGGCCCACCCAGCCCTTGGCCACCTCTGGGAACCTCGGCGGGTCTGGTTCCAGACTCCCACCCCACCCAGGCCCTCAAAGGCTCAGCCACTACCTGACTCTGCTCCCAAGAACTCTGCGTTGTCCGGAAGGGCTGCAGGTACCCCTTCAGGCCCGCAGCTCAGTGGGATGGGGAGGCGGGCGCCCTCAGCTCTAAGGCCTGAGAGCCCCCCAGAGCCACAGCCTGAGTGCGCTTGCGGATCCGCCCCCCTTTAGAAAAAGAGGAGGGGCTTGCAGGTGGGGCTAGTGGTAAAGTACCCACTTGCCAAGACGAGAGGCGGGTTCGATCCCTGGGCTGGGAAGATCCCCTGGAGAAGAGAGTGGCTACCCACTCCAGTCTTCTTGCCTGGGAAATCCCACGGACAGAGGAGCCTGGGGGCTACAGTCCATGGGGTCGCAGAGTCAGTCACGACTGATCGACTTAGCACAGCCCAGAAGGGGGACCAGGGGCCCGGTAGGGAGGGCTACCGGGCACGGGAGGAGGAAGCCGGGCAGGCTGCGGGCTGCTGTCCCCCCCCCTTCCCCCTACGTATGGTTCCCGAGGCTGAACCCGTAATCCAGCCGCTGCAACAGTGTTCGGGGGCACAGCGTGCGGGGTCGGCGGTGCCCAGGACCCCGCGACCGCGCCCAGCTCAGAGGGAGGGTCTCCGGCTGCGGAGTCTCCTGCGCAGGGGGCGCTGCGCCTGGCCCGGGGGTCGGGCTAACAGGCGTGGGGCCTCCACCGCGGGCTGGGGGTTCTCCATTCGTGGCGATGGGGGCTCTCTCGCCGGGTGCGGGGGTCTTCTCGCCGTCCCCGCCAGCCCTATCTGCAAGGCAGGACCACTGCGCGCCCCTCCCGCCCCGCGGGCGCTCCGAGGGCCCCCGGGACTGAGTTCCGGTCACTCCCGCCCACTCGGGCCGGCGAGGGCGCGGGAGGCGGGAGCGGAGCCCGTGACGCGGCGGAGCGGCTCCCGGATGCACCGCATAAATAGCGGCGGCGGCTCCCGGCGCGGACACGTCGAGGGAGCCCGGCCGCCCTGCGCATCCAGCCTCTGCGTCCCCGAGGCCGCGCCATGCGGTGAGCGTCCCCGGCCCTGCCCCACCCGACTCGACGGACGCGCGGCCCCGCCGACACCCCAGGACCTGTAGACACCCCAGGACCCACAGACATCCCCCGACCCTCCGGGCCCCGCTCAAGGTACCGCGCCCCCGAGCTCACCCCACTTTTTCCTCCGCGTTCCCCTCTCCACAGCGCCCGCCTGCCGGTGGACCCTCCCCGGGGCCGGCGCGTCGCCTCCGCCCCTGGCCGGGCTCTCTCCTGGGCACCCTGGCTCCTGGCTGCCCCTCCCGCACCCGCAGGGGTGGGTGGGGGTCCCGAGCCCCCGCCCGACGTGCGCCCTGGGGAGGGAGGCTGGTCTCCCCGCGCCGCCGCCCACCGCCCCTTCCCTTGCAGATGCCCAGAGGCTCCGTCCTCCTCGCCACCCTGCTCCTCGCCGCGGCCCTTTCAGCCACCCTGGGCCTCGGGTCACCGGTAAGCGCAAGGCGGGGGCAAACGCCCCCCAAGCCGAGTCTCCTTCTCGGCAAAGGGGGGCGACCTCATCAGAACCAGACCGGGGGTGGGGAGTGGGGTGAGTTCCTTGTGCCGGGAACAGAGAGAGCCATCGATTCTGCCTGCGGGTGGGAGGGGGTGTGGGGGCGTCGGAAGTCGAGGCGGGGGGTGGGGGCGGGCACGGCGGGGAGGGGCCAGTCCTCGGAGCAGATCGGCGGCGGCGGGGGTTTCCGAGGAGATGCTCCAGACAGCCGCCTCTCCCAGTACAAAGAGCCCCTGGCTGTGGGCCACTAAGTGTGGACCCTGCGAACCCGGAGGTTAGCGCCTCAGACTAGTGAGGGGTGAACCCCATTTGGTTAAGTTCAGTAGAGCGTCAGTTACCCCGTTTGCCAACTGGTTTTATCAACACGTGTCTTCAGCATCATTTAAAAGCCAGTGGGTGCACTCTTGAGTCTGTAACTCTAAAGGAATTCTTTGCTAACGCAGGTAGTGCTGTTTTCCTGTGGAGCGTAGCTTACTGGGGTGCAAGTCTGGAATGTCTTGCAGTTTCCCAAAGTACCCGCATTATTCTAATTCCTGTATCCTGCCTGGAAAGTCTGGGTGAATTTCACTTAATGTCTTTCTAATTTCATTTAAAGCTCTTGCTTTTTAACAGTTTGCAACTCTTAGCTTATTCTATGAAAGAGTCAAGTGTCTTTGTCATTGAAGCCGGGTGGCTATTTGAAGTAGGCTGCCGTGGTGGCTCATAGGATCAGAAGCTGCCGCTGGGGGCTTCTTTGAGCCATCATAGGCTGTACCAGGCAGGATGCTTGCCCTCTGACCTCTGCCCTCCCGTTTAAGGTGAAGGAGAAGAGAGGCTGGACCCTGAACAGTGCTGGCTACCTTCTCGGACCACGTGAGTGAGGCCGGGCCGGCATCTCTGGCAAATTTGCTCTGGTCGAGCTGGCTGCGGCCTTGGTGCTGACCCTGCTCTTCCTGAAATGTGGGGATCGCCTGTCATTGCTCCGAGCCCTTGATATTCCACTGCGAGTCAGATAAAGGGACACAGGGGAGTTTTCCCTGAGACTTTGAGGCAGGGTGGGTTTCTCTGTAGGTTTAACTGAAGGGATAGACCCAGGCCCTTCCGAGGCCTCGCCTTCCTCTGGGATTCCCAGCCTCAGCCCCTGTTCAGGCCTTCCCGGGTGAGCATCTCGGAAGGCAGACACTCCTTGGGGCTCTGTTCTGGGGCCTCTCTCGGGTCCCTCTGTCTCTCCCTGAACGCTCCCATCCATTCCTTGACCTGAAGAGGCCAAGACTGAATGTCGAGGGTTCTCTTTCTGCTCCGAATCTGTTCCTGGAGCCGTCCTGCTTGGTGACTGACCCTCGGGCTCTTGTCTTTGATGTGAGTCGTCTGCACTTGGTGTGAGTAATTTGACTCCATTCAGGATGCAGACTCCAGTGAGAGTAAACTCGTGGGGGCCTTCGGAGACCCCCAGTTCGACTGCTGCGTTTACGGGCAAGCACACGGACCCCGGGGCTCAGTGACCGGCTCGCTGCCGTGGAATTCCTCAGTGGGCGCGGGAAGCGGCAGAGGTGGGAAGTGGCTTGCCTCCAGGCGCTCAAGGGGACACTCCGGACCCCTCGCCCACCCGCCCCCACTCCGCTTCCTGCAAGTCCCCTGTCCGCAGTGATCCCTTCAGGTTTTGTCCTCAAGGAGGGGTGAGGGGAGACCTTTCACTTCCCATCCCAACCCGCCCCTTCTTTCAGATTTGCAGGCATGGTTTCGTTGGGGACAGCCATCAGCCTTGAAGAAAATCCTCCTCTGTTTATTTCCTGTTTTCCCACAGGAAAGGAGGCAAACAGCAGATAGCTCATGTCCCAATCCTTCCAGAGTCATTGGGAAGAGCCGTCCCCATTTAAGCGACCCTGGGAAGCTGCTTTTAGTTTTTAACCCCCGAGTTTAAGTACAGACACTTCTTCCACTGCACGTGGTTGGTTATCTGGTCACCTGCAGGGTCCCTGAGAGCTGGGCTTTGAGAAACGCAGAGACAGAAATGAAAATAAGATGGGGCCACAGGCAGGGTCCCCTGGGCACCTCTGGTCTCGGAGCGAAAGCAGTGGCCAGTCCCCGGGGGCCTGGGCGCTGTGGGTGGGGTGCTCTTGCCTGCGGACACCGACTCACGGGTTTCCCTGAGCCCTCTGCGGCCCGGAGTCCCTTCCTCCCAAGAAAGCCCCTCATCTCTGGTGCTTCTGGCCCCAAAGAAAGGAGGCGCCCGTGTTGAAAGTGTATTTATCAAGGGCATCTGGGGACTCCCCTGGTTGCCCGGTGGTTAGGACGCCACACCTTCACTGCCGGTGCCCTGGTTTTGGTCCCTGGCTGAGGAGCTAACATCCCACAAGCCAGAAAATCCTGATTCAGAAAATAAGCTGTTTTTCACCATCAAGTCGGATCAGCAGAAGCTGTCCACCTAGACTAGCCGTTTGTCAGAATCCCTTTCGACTTCACACTGTGCTCCCAGCTTCTGTCGTCAGCGAACCCGAGACTGTGCTTGCTGCCGAGGACGGTCTGAGCCTGGAGGCAGCCAGCGGCCTCCTGAAGCACCGGGTGTTTGTCATCCCTCCACGTTGAAGGCCGAGGACTCTGCCTGTGGGAAGATGAATCAGTTCGCTCTTGCCCAGGCTTGGAGGCGATCTGGTGCATCAGGCCCGGCAGCCAGAAACCATGGCCCAGGTCTTCTCCTTTACCCCGAAGAGCCCCAGGTCAGGTCCTTCCCTTCACTGCAGGCTGCTTGGCGCAGAGTCCTCATTCATTCTTTCCAGTTCTTTTTATTGTACTTTATCTTTTTGGCCACACTCTGCAGTTTATGAGATCTGAGTTTCCCGACCAGGGATTGAACCCGGGCTTTCAGCCGTGAAACTGCAAAGTCCTAACCGCTGGCCTACCAGGGAACTCTGTCCAGTACTTTGTTAGGGGATCTCTCTGCTTGCAATCTCCATTCCCGCTTTTCACTCCAGCCAGCATGCATGCATGTGCACACACACGCACATGTAGACACACGCACACACACGTGCTCACACGCGCACACACTCCACCTCCCTCCTTCCTTCTCACCCCCTCCCTCCTCCTCCTCCTCCTGACTCTCTCCCTGGCTCCAGTCCGCCTCCCTCACGGCAGCCAGTGGTCTTAGCGAGATCAAGTCTGCTTTCATCAGAAGGGCAAAGCCTGTGGCTCCGCCTGCCCCTGTTTTCAGGGACATAGGACCCCAGCCCCTGTCCTCTGCCTGGGAGGCACCCAGTTCAAATGCCAGCCCCGCCCCGGGCGCCGTCGGCACACCCCCGCTGACCAGGCCTGGAGCCCGTGCCCTCCACTAGCCACATGCTGGCCCCTCCTGGACCGGCGGCTGCCCCCGGCTCTGAGGGCCCGCTGCCCCTGGGTGAGAGCGGTGCCTGGCGCTGGCGCGAGTCCTCGCCTCTGGTTCCCGGAGAACAGCCCCCCTCTGCCCCGGCGCCCCTGGCTGGCTCGGTTTGTGCAGTCTGGTTGTGCTGCGTGGGGGCGGAACGCAGCGGCATGTCCTGTCATGACGACAGCACTCAGGGGCCTTCCTCTCTGACTTGCCGACAGATGCCATCAACAACCACAGGTCATTTCTTGACAAGCACGGCCTCGCCGGCAAGCGGGAGCTCAAGCCTGAAGACGAAGCCAGGCCAGGTGAGAGGACTTTGATCCCAGGGCACGCAGGGCACCGGGGGTATTGGTCTCCTGCCACCCTGGGTCCACAGCCGAGCCTGAGTTGGGCCCAGCAAGATCTGTCAGCCGCCAGAACGAGGCGCCCCAAACCTGAGAGTGAGATCCTGGGGCAGCCACAGGGTCTCAGGGCCTCCCCTGCGCTGAACAAGGCTCTGGAGGGAGGGAAGGGCATCCTGGTGATGCCCCCAGGTGCCCAGGTCTAGGACGGGCACCACGGTCGTCAACACTGCCCCCTCTGGTTTCCAGGAAGCTTTGACAGACCACTGGCGGAGAACGACGTCGCGCGCACGATAATGGAGTTTCTGACTTTCTTGCATCTCAAAGGTACGTGAAGTACCACCAAGGGGAAACCCCACCTCTTGGAAGCCTGTGGAGAAAGGATTCCATGGCCTTCTCCCGGGGAGGAGCCAGGTCCACCTCACACCTGGTCACGCTGGCGGAGGGGTGACAAGGCCAGGGCTGGGACCAGCCGCAGGGGGGCCGGGTTCATTCGCGCTGCCGACCCAGACTCCCGGACGTGGCCCTCCCCGTGGGGCCGCGGTCACTGCACACGGCCAGGCTCTCCGCAGACCGCCTGGAGCCCAGGGTCCTGGTTGCATTTTCACCCCCTGCAGTCTTCTGGGGGGCAGGCTGCGTTTGACCCCCACAGCTCTGCGGCCTGGGATCTAGGCTCTTCCGTGGACACTGCAGACAAGGGGGTCCTCCCCGTGGCCCATCCGACCTCAGCACGTCTGTGCTCGTGACTGCCGCTCATGCCCCAGTGACAGTCTGGCCTTAATCAAAGCCGCCCTGTGGAAGGGGCTCTGAGAGGTCCCCGCCGGGAGGTGGCCTGGGGACACAGCAGGACGCGGGCCACTCCGAGGCTCCAAGGGAGACACCAGGGTTGTCACAGTTTTGTCTGGTTGGAAGAGTTAAGAAGATTTCTGGGTTCGGTCTTGATCCACTTGCTCTCAGGCTCCATGGCCTTTAGTGGGGGGCTTAGAGGGGGAGGAGTTGGGGGGAGATTTAAGCTTGCGGTTCCCTCAGAACCATCCATGGGCAGCGGGACTGCGGGAGAAGGACTTAGAAACCTCAGAACCAAGAGCCCAGTGGAGCCTCTGGGGAGACCTCTGTGGAGAAAACTGGTGACTTCTCCAGCAAGGGCAGACTGACGCTTACGGGTTTATCTGTTCTGCTTGGAATGTTGCAACGTGGAACTCGCTTCCTTAGGGGACACTGGTTTTTATCACCTAAATGCATACGCAATGTGGGGGTTAAGTGTGACGCGTGCCTGATTCCGGGGTTGATGCGGGGGAATCTGAGTGTGGCCCCTCCCCCTGCAGACGCCGGGGCCCTGGAGCGCCTGCCTGGTCTCCCCACGGCAGAGTCCGCAGAAGACGCCGAGCTGTCCTGAGCAGGCTCCCGGGGTGTCGGGCTCCCCGTTGTCTTTCGCGGTCGTGCTTGAAGAGGATGCCGATCGTGTGGCAACCACCCCGCCCCGCTGCCCTGAAGCTGTGTTCTTACCGTTTCAGAATTTTCCCCCTTGGTCATAAGTGTGAGTGGCAAAATAAAAAAAAAAACAAACAGCAATGGCTTGTGATTATCATTTTCTTCCAGGTGTCTGTCTTGTCACCACTGCCACCAATGTGTTTTTAAAGGGTGATGGTTGTTTATAATCATGAGTATTAGATAAAACCTTTACCCTCAAATTCCACCATCTAGAGTATCTCTGAGACGCCTATTCTTTTTTTTTATTCCATTTACTTTTATTAGTTGGAGACTAATTACTCTACAATATTGTGGTGGTTTTTGCCATACATTGACATGAATCAGCCATGGATTTACATGTGTTTCCCATCCTGAACCCCCCTCCCACCTCCCTCCCCATCCCATCCCTCTGGGTCATCCCAGTGCACCAGCCCCGAGCACTTGTGAGAAACCTATTCTTGTCACTCATGTTTAGGGAACAAAGTTGTCTTAATATGAAGCTGAGTCAAAGATAACTATGAAGGTAAGTTTGTTTCTGTGACAAAACCACAGGCAGACAGAACCCTGGCCTCATGGAGCTGATGGGGGGAAATGGCCTAAAGCAACCCTGAGCTTGAGGGATGAGGAGTGAAGTGAAGGTGGATGTGAGGGGCTCGTGAAGGTGAAGCGTGGTGAGGAACAGCAGCGCGGGGGCCACGGTGAGGTGGGGATTAACACAGAGCATTAAACGTGGCTGGGTTAGGAGGTAACTGTCAGAAAAACTAACATTCCTTTGGATCAGGGATGTGCTGGGTTAATGCTGAGTTAAGGACAGCACATGGGGACTAAGGGTAGAAATCTTGGTCTTCCTACTGAAGACCCAGAAAGGAACAGGTGAGACGAGGAGCCAAACAGTCGTTCAGTGACGGCTCGTGGGCTCTTTCTCAGGAGCCCGAGCAGACCCGAGGAGGAAGCGGGGTGGTCTTCCCGTGATCTCCGCCCCAGCAGCGCCTCTCACCCCTGGGGCCCAGGTGGCCCACAGACCCCTGAGTCAGTCCGGTGCCCACCCTGTCCCCATGCTCCCCAGGTGACTGCAGTACGCGGCCAAGCGTGGCGCTGACCACCCGCTTCCAGGAAGAAGGAGACACTGGTTGTTCTCCGAGGCCCACTGGTGGGAGCGCAGCCCGGCCTCCCCGCCTTGTGACTCACAGAACTCTCCTCCTGCCCCCAGCCACTCTTCCTCCTGGCAGGAGGCCAGGCCACGCACGGGTGGGCCGTCCCTGCTCAGGCTGCAGGAGTGCCACCCGCGGTGCCACAGGCGCCAGGCCGTCCGCCTCCCGCCCCCGCACCGTCCTCAGCTTCCTCTTCTGTGTGGCTCTAATTCCCCCAGACTCGCGGGGCCCCCAGCATCCCCAGCAGCCCTGTCAGAGTTGGGGGGCCAGGCCCCTGCCCAGAGCGCTGAATCAGGAGGACCAGATGCGCAGAGCCTGAACGCCTCACAAGCGCCCGGCATCAGCGGCTGCCGGACACCAGACATACCTCATTCACGCTGCCCCGCACCCGCCTGCAGTCTGCCCGCCCTCCCTCTGGCCGTGCCCCCTTCCATCCACACTGGGCACCACCCAGCCTGCTCTGCTGGCCTCCTTGTGCCCGAGCCCCGGATCCCGCCAGCTGCAGCCCCTGGCCCAGCCTCGCTCACCTAGAACCTCTGCACGCCTCCCTATTGGTGCCTGGTGAACCCCTACACGCCCCACACGGTCCCGCTATCTGCTGGCCTCCTCCAGGACACCTCCCTGTTCATTCTCCCCGAGCAGGGCTGTGTGCAGGCCCAGCGAGTGTGGCGCTGCCCCGTCGGAGTTCTGTCTGCGGCCGTCTCTCCTCAGCACGCTGGAACTGCCTCAGGAAACCGCCCTTGCCTGAGGAACAGAGGTGAGCCGGGGCCACGCCCTGGCCCGCAGCATCGCACCTGGTGGGCAGGAGAGCCTCTCAGGCCTCCGTGCAGCTGCAGCCGCGTGGGCTCCGGGCGAGCTCTGCAACCTCAGCCCCTCCGCCCCACCTGCTCCAAACCTCTTCCTCCGTTTAGGTGTGAACGGAGTGGGAGAGACGGTGGCAGCGAGAGGCGAGGGGCGGGGAGCGGCTGTGTGCCATCGGCCGGTCACAGCGATGGCCCTCCTCGGAGGAAGGCTGTGGAGGAGACGCTTCACTTCCCGGAGAGGACGTGGCTGGAGCTGGCCATGGCCATGCCCGGTAAATCAGTTGCCAATCGTGGCCAGTATTTCCAAGGAGAAGAGTTCACCGGACCTCAGAGGAAGTGGAGAATTTACAGACAGACCTGAGAGCCACCCAGGGGCCCAGCTGCGAGGTGGAAGAGGCGAGCGTGGGGAAATTTTCCACGAGGTTGTCTGTCCCGCCAGGAGCGATCATGAACGCTGAGGGCTGCGATCCAAGGCCAACGACAGGGGGCCTCCCCGCCATCTGCACAGAGCCTCGCTGCTCGGCCGCACTCGGCGTGGGGTGAGGAGGCCGAGAGGGAGACCAGGCTGAGGAAGGGCGAGCCTGCCTCCCTGGGGAGCGCCTCCAGGAGGGAGGAGAAAGCGGAGGAGAAGGTGATGCCTGAGAGGGGGCGAGAGAGGTACTGGGAGGCTAAGGCAGGCCTCGGGGTAGGGCGGTGAAGTCTCAGAAAGATGACAAGAATCGCAGCTCATAACGTTCTAACATATAACTCAACTTTTGTTTTTAACACATTGCAAAAAAGAGAGAGATACTAGTGGTCCATTTTAAAGTCTGGATTTAACCCTATTTTATCTGTGGTAACAACAAAGAAGGCTCTAGAAAGCAGAAAGCTTGACCACCTCTGATCTAAGCTTAAAATGTGATATTTGCTGACTTGTGCTTTTGAAAGTAGGTGTATTTTCTCTCATTCTCCTGTCAGTACAGTGAAAAGCCCTGGACATTATACATAAAACAAACACCAGGAGACTCAAAGTCAGCAGGCAAGTCAGGGCCCAGGGATGACACAGAGTGGAGACCTGGTCCCTTCTTGCCTCCTCAGCAGAGGGAAGAGGTCAACTGTCCCTGAACTGATACACAGACAACACAGTGCTCATCAAGAAAGAGCATGAAAACAAGGTAAGGATGGGGAGAAAATATTTGCAAACCACATATCCCACCAAGGGCTGTTTTCTAAAGCATATAAAGGACTCTCAAAGCTCAACTAGAAATCCAGTTAAAGTGAGCGCAATACATGAACAGACGCTTCACTGAATAGCTTACAGAGATGGAAAAAAAGCACCTGAAGAGATGTTCAGCATAATTAATGTTTAGGGAGCTGCACATCAAAACCACAACCAAGTGTCACTAAATACCCATTAGAACGGCTGAAGGAACAGTGACAGCGCCGACTGCTGGTACGGATGCAGAGAAAGTGGATGACTCAGACACCGCTGCTGAAAATGTAGTATGATTCAGCTGCTTGGGAAGAGAGCTGATCACGTCTTTAAAAATCAAACATGCCACAACCATCCAACCCAACCATTGCACTCCCAAGTATTTACCCCAGACAAATGAAGGCTTACCTTTACACAAGAACTCACACACAAATATTCACAGTAGTTTATTCATAACAGCCCCAAACTAAAAACAGCTCAGCTATCCTTCAACGGGTGATACTCTCGTCACCCATACCTACTACTGAGCAATGAAAAGGAACAGATTATTACGACTCACAACAACCTGGTGCATCTCTAGAGAATTCTTCTGAGTTTCATATTGCATGACTCCACTTATATAACATTCTTGAAGTGACTAAAGTACAGAAATGGAGAACATACTAGTGGTTGCCAAGGTTTGGGAGGGGATGGGAGTAGGAGGGAGGTGGGTGTGAATGCAGAGAGTGACTTGAGGGGGCCTTGAGGTGACAGAATTCTGCATCTTGACTGTGTCAACGTCATCATCCTGGCTGTGATACTGTACTACAGTTTTGCAAGATGTTCCCACTAGGGAAAACTAGATAAAGGGTACATATCTCACTTCTTACAATTGTGTATAAATCACAATTATCTTAAAATGAAATGTTTAAATTTTAAAGAAGCTACTAAAATATATTTTGGGGCCTTGGTATGTTCACTGGTGAATTCTACTAAATATTTAAGGAAAAAATCATTCCAATTCTTTCCTATCCCTTCTGGGACACAGAAGCTGAGGGAATACTTCCTAACTCATTCTAACTCATCCTGTGAGTGCAATGTTACCCTAAAAAAGACACGTACACACAAAAACACTACACGAAAATTACAGACCAATATCTCTGACGAACATAAATGCCAAAATCCTCAACAAAGTATTGCAAGTCAAATCCGATTGAGTATAAAAAATTATACACCACAACTAAGTGGGATTTAACCTCCGTATGTAAGTCTGGTCAACAATCAAAAGTCAGTGGAGATAAGATTTTCCTGGTCGTTCAGTGCAGGGGACACAGGCCCAGTCCCTGTCGCAGGGCGGCCCTGCACGCCGAGGAGCAGCTGAACCACGCGTCACTGCTGGGCCGGCACCCCAGAGCCCGAGAGCCGGAACTACCGAGACCCGAGCACCCCGGAGCCCACGCTCGGAAGCAGGAGAAGCTCCTGCAGCGAGAAGCCTGCGCACGCTGGGGAAGAGTGGCTGCTGCTTGCCGCAGCGAGAATAGCCACGAACGACCGGCATGGCCACAAAAAGAAACATCTTAATGCAATCCATCGCATAGATAGGCTAAAGAAGGAAAATCTCAGGATCTTATCAGTAGATGCAGAAAAGACATGTGACAAAATCCAATACCTGTAGATGATTAAAAAAATAATAAGCCTTTGGTAAACAACGAATCGATAAAGAATATCTACAACTTGATAAAGAATATCTAACAAAAATCCTACATGCATGCGTGCTAAGTCGCTTCAGTCATCTCCGACTCTTTGCAACCCTATGGACTGTAGCCTGCCAGGCTCCTCAGGCAAGAAAACTGGAGTGGATTGCCATGACCTCCTCCAAGGATCAAACCTGCATCTCTTAAGTCTCCTGCACTGGCAGGCTGGTTCTTTACCACATTATACTTAACAGTGAGAAACTAGAAACTTTCCCACTAAGATGAGGAACAAGACAAGGATGTCCCCTCTCATTACCACCTTTCAACACCATACTGGAAGTTCCAGCTAATGTGAAAAGACAAGGAAATCAAAAATATACAGATTGAGATGGAAGAAATAAAACTTCCTTTCTTCAAAGATGACACAATTGACTCTGTTAAAAATCAGTCCCCAAACTCCTCGGACAGAAAGACAATTATAGCAAGGTTGCAGGATACAAGGTTAATATATAGAAGTTAATCTCTTTCCCATATAGCACTAATGAACAAGCGGAATTTGAAATTAAAAACACAATACCACTTAGCTTAGCACTCCCAAAATAAAATACTTAGGTATAAATCTAACAAAACATGTACAAGATCTACATGAGGGGCTTCCGTGGTGGTCCAGTGGTTAAGAATCCTCCTTGTAATACATGGGACACTGGTTCTATCTCTAGCCCAGGAAGATCCCACATGTGGTTCAGTTTGGTTCAGTCGCTCAGTTGTGTCCCATTCTTTGTGACTTCATGGACCGCAGCACGCCAGGCCTCCCTGTTCATCACCAACTCCAGGAGTTTCCTCAAACTCATGTCCATTGAGTTGGTGATGCCATCCAACCATCTCATCCTCTGTCATCCCCTTCTCCTCCTGCCTTCAATATTTCCCAGCACCAGGGTCTTTTCCAATGAGTCAGCTCTTTGCATCAGGTGGCCAAAATATTGGAGTTTCAGCTTCAGCATCAGTCCTTCCAATGAATATTCAGGACTGATTTCCTTTAGGATGGACTGGTTGGATCTCCTTGCTGTCCAAGGGACTCTCAAGAGTCATCTCCAACACCACAGTGCAAAACCATCAATTCTTCGGTGCTGAGCTTTCTTTATAGTCTAATTTTCACATCCACACATGACTACTGGAAAAACCCTAGCTTTGACTAGACAGACTTTTGTTGGCAAAGTAATGTCTCTGCTTTTTAATATGCTGCCTAGGTTGGTCATAACTTTTCTTCCAAGGAGCAAGTGTCTTAATTTCATGGCTGCAGTCACCATCTGCAGTGATTTTGGAGCCCCCCCCCCACCTCCAAAATAAAGTCTGTCACTGTTTCCACTGTTTCCCCATTTATTACCCATGAAGTGATGGGACCAGATGCCCTGATCTTAGTTTTCTGAAGGTTGAGCTTTAAGCCAACTTTTTCACTCTCCCCTTTCACTTTCATCAAGAGACTCTTTAGTTCTTCTTTGCTTTCTGCCATGAGGGTGGTGTCATCTGCCTATCTGAGGTTATTGATATTTCTCCTGGCAACCTTGATTCTAGTTTGTGCTTCATCCAGCCCAGTGTTTCTCATGATGTACTCTGCATATAAGTTAAATAAGCAGGGTGACAATATACAGCCTTGATGTACTCCTTTCCCAATTTGGAACCAGTCTATTTTTCCATGTCCAGTTCTACCTGTTGCTTCCTGACCTGCATACAGATTTCTCAAGAGGCAGGTCAAGTGGCCTGGTGTTCCCATCTCTTGAGGAATTCTCCACAGTTTGTTGTGATGCACACGGTCACAGGCTTTAGCAGAGTCAATAAAGCAGAGGCAGGAGCAACTAAGTGCCTGCACCATTGAGCCCGTGCCCTGGAGCCCAGGGCAGCAGCGACTGAAGTGAGAAAAGCCAGTGCACCGAGAAGCCCACACACCGCAGCTAAAGAGCAGCCGTGCTCTCCACAATCAGAGAAAAGGTGTGCAGCAAGGGAGACCCAACACAGTCAAACGAACATTTGAAAAATCAAAGACGAGCTAAATAGACATTCCATGCTCCTGGAGAGAAAGACTCAAAGTGTTTCCAAGATGTCAGTTCTTCTCAACTTGATCTGTGGAGTCAACACAATCCCAATCAAACTCTCAGCAGGTTATTTCGTGGATGTCAAAAAACTTATTCTAAAGTGACATGAAGAGGTAAAAGACCTAGAATGGCCAACATGATATTGAAGAAGAACAAAGTTTGAGGACTGACAGCACCCGACTTTAAGACTTACTCTAAAGCTATAGCAATCAAGACAGTGTGATATTTGGGGAAAAATTAACAAACAGATCAATGGAACAGAATAGAGAGAAAGAAACATACCCACATGAATATAGTCAACTGACAGGGAATTCCCTGGCGGTCCAGTGGTTGGGACTTGGTGCTTTCACTGCCAGGGCCTGGGGTTTGATCCCTGGTTGGGGGACTAAGGTCCCACCAGCTGTGTGCTATGGCCAAAAGACAAACAAGCAAACAAAACAGGAAAAAAAAAAAAGAAAAACTATGTATAGTCAACTGATCTGTGGCAAAGGAGCAAAGGCAATACAATAAAGAAAAGATAGTCTTTTCAGCAAATGGTGCCAGAACAACTGCACATCCGCATGCAGAAAAATGAACCTAGACACAGACCATGTATTCTTCACAAAAATTAACTCAAAGTGGATCACAGACATAAGTGTAATGAGAAATGCAGGGCTAGATGAAGCTCAAACTGGAATCAAGATTTCCGGGAGAAATATCAATAACCTCAGATATGCAAATGACACCACCCTAATGGCAAAAAACAAAGAGGAACTAAAGTAAAGAGCCTCTTGATGAAGATGAAAGAGGAGACTGAAAAAGCTGGCTAAAGACTCAACATTCAAAAAACTAAGATCAGGGCATCCAGTCCCATCACTTCATGGCAAATAGATGGGGAAACTGGAAACAGTGACAGACTTTATTTTCTTGGGTCCAAAATCACTGTGGACAGTGACTACAGCCATGAAATTATAAGATACTTGCTCCTTGGAAGAAAAGCTATGACAAATCTAGGCAGTGTATTACAAAAAGAGAGATATCACTTTGCCAACAAAGGTTCATATAGTCAAAGCTATGGTTTTCCAGTAGTCGTGTATGGATGTGAGAGTTGAACCATAAAGAAGGCTGAGTGCCAAAGAATTGATACTTTTGAACAGTGGTGCTGGAGAAGACTCGTGAGAGTTTCTTGGACTGCAAGGAGATCGAACCAGTCAGTTGTAAAGGAAATTAATCCTGAATATTCATTGGAAGTACTGATGTTGAAGCTGAAGCTCCAATACTTTGGCCACCTGATGCAAAGAACTAACTCATTAGAAAAGACCCTGATGCTGGGAAATATTGAAGGCAGGAGGAGAAGGGGTGACAGAGGATGAGATGGTTGGATGGCATCATCAACTCAGTGGACATGAGTTTGAGCAAACTCAGGGAGATAGTGAAGTACAGGGAAGCCTGGCTTGCTGCAGTCCACGGGGTTGCAAACTAGTCAGACACAACCAAGTGACTGAACAACAACAAATTCCCCCTTTGGTTCCCCATCAGAACTAGGCTGTTCCAAACACAGTTCTACAAATCTCAACTTACTCCTTGGCTTCTTGCTTACTGATGTGCCCAGTGACCATATCCTAAGACCCCACTTCTTTAAGTGGTGTGTTTGTAAGTGAGCTTTTTAAACATTCTCCAAGGGGCCAACACTCTTAAGGAACACAGAAACATAACTAATATATGTTCGGTTGTTAAGTTAATTGCAATAATGGAAGACATTTGAAATTTTTATTCCTCTTTGCTTTTACAATAGAACCAAAAGAGAGTCAACCTAATAACTTATTTTTCCTGCTGACTTCTGCAAATTAGTTATTTTAACCATATTTTACAAACAATAGTAATATTATAACAGTAATTATGGAGAAGTTAATTGGATAATAGAGCTTTTCCACAATTTAAATGGAAACATATAAGAAACTAGATAATTTCAGCCTCACAACTCAAAATGCTACTGATCAAACCAACCCCACTGTCTGCACTTCATGGTGACCCTAGAGGAGACTAGTAATTTCTGAGACTCCAGGGAAATATTTACACTTAGAAATTCTCCAAGGTATTTGGTAGTTCTCTACAGATTTTACGTTGTACCTTAGCAGCCTATCTGGGGAATTTATTTCTAAACAATTTAGGGGAAAAATCATTATGGCTTTTCATGCAGAGAAGCCTCCAGAGGAGGAAAATTCCCTGGAGAGGGTGAAGTCAATAGGAAAGGACTTGTATTTCTCTCCAGGGCCTGCTTCCACCCTCCATTACTCAATGTTAGTGCAGACCATTCTCTCAGGATTACAGGAACCCACGCTGTTTCCTTGGGTCCAGACAACAACAGTAGGGTCATGCAGTTCCTCAAAAAGTGGGGCAGGATTTTAGTCACCAAATCCCTTAGAGACTCTGAGTAGCCCCTCAATATCCTGATGCAGAGAGAAAATTTGTTCTTAATGATGAAGCTATTGGTGCAGACCCAGCCTCATGCTCCTTAAAACAACCTTGCTAAACTACAGATTTCCTTCAGAATACGGACACAAAACCTACACGCATCTGTATTTCACCATGCTGTGCTTTACTCAATCTTCAGCCCTTTGGATTTAAACTCAGTATGGAGAATCTGTGACAAGCATCTCCCGAACTCCTCTAGGATCATTTGCTCCGCCAGGCACTTGGAGCAGTGCTCCTTCTCCGCTTCTTCGCCCTGGGCCAGCAAGCAGGCGCATGTGGCTTCCACCACCTCCCAGGAGATGCACGAGGTCGACCGCCTGTCAGAGCAAACCAGTTGAAGGCCACGTTCAGTCACTCCACTGTTTTAAATACCTTTCACAGTCCAGGGACATGCTTGTTATAGCACTTTAAAGAATGCCACTGGTAAAATCTAATGTTTTCTTAATACTGGAAATTATATGCCCTGTGACCATATAAAGGACTGCTTTTAGAAGAAGAATGCAGAGGACAGATGAGCCTGTCAGCTCCTAGACATCCTTTTCCCTGAAGATTCTAAATTGTCTCAAACTTAGATCCACAAAGGAGCCTGGAGACCTGGGCTGCAGCATCAAGTCTGCAGGCTGGGCAGGGGTTGAAGCAGCAGGAGTCTTAGCTAAGACAAGCCGTGGTCTGGGCTCCTTGCACAGGTCTGTCTTCCTGAGGAAAGCAGCCACAGCACAGCGGGCTCTGGGCGCCGGCCCCTCCTCCCCAGGAGCCCAGTGGCTCTGAGGAGTCGCCTCCTGGGGGGCACACTGTCAGCTCGCCTCTCAACACCCCCTGGATCCCTGAAGCGGTTCTGAAAGTCAGCTGAACCACGTCATACAGGACCCGTCACTTCCTCACTGGGCTCCAGGGGCAACTGTGACTTAGCTAGATAGTTGCCCAAGTCATACTCAAACTGAAAAACTTTAGCAAAACTACAGATTATGGAAATACACATGCTGGGATTGGTTTAAATCTGTCAAGGCAATACACAATGACTTTTGTTGCAGATGAATGAACAGGGCTGGCCTCAGCTTGAGAGTCTTAACATTTTGAGATCAGACTCCCGAGTATGGAGTTCCTGCCACATTCCGTCGGACTCTCAGCATCACCATGTTAGGCAATAATGTTTCCACACGTAATTTCACAGAAGATGCAGCCATGTTTCAGTAAATTTTTACCAATAAAGACCTCTGCAGGTCACAGTGATGAGTATTTCTGATATCTCTAACCAACAAAGCATGAATTTGTCTTTTCTACATGTTATCAATTAATTAATGACATCTGGTAGTTTATCACAACATGACCCATCCCATCAAACTCAAGGAAATTTTTTAAAATGGATGAATCTAGTCCGATATCTAATAAAATTATCAGTAAACTTTTGAGACTTCCTAGGAGTATAATAATTACAAATATTTTTGTAATTATTACAAAATATAAAAAATGGCCTCAAAATAATTACATGGGAAGACATCCCACTAAAGTGGACTCCATATGCCCCTCAGTGAGGCGTACAACACACACAGACCACTTCTCCGCAGTCCCTTCCTGTGTGAAGAGCGGTTCAGGCATTTGCTGTCTAGAGATCAGGCCTTTGCCACCTGAGGTCCTGGAGGCCCTCTGCTCTTGTACAAAACAGGGGTAACTCAGACAGTGAGGACTGAAAGGTTGAGTTAAGAGGACAAATAGGACCAAGGGCTTTCGGCAGCAGGGGTACGTCTGTGGTAACACAGTGTGGGATCCAGGGCTGGTCAAGACAGAGAAGCTGCAGTCTCCCTTCCCTGCCCCTCATTTCCTGCCCTCCCGCAGACAAAATCACTTTCCTTCCAGTGTGGAAACTATTTTAACTCTCCTCTTAAATTTTTTCTTGACCGTGAGGTGAGGCTTACAGGATCTTAGTTTTCCTGACCACGGACTGAACCCATGCCTCCTGCAGTGGAAGTGCTTAGTCCTAAGCCCTGTTTCACCAGGAAGTCCCAACTCTCTTCTCAAGTTAACCTTGAATTCCCTTATTAGGAGGCTGAGTTCAGAGTACCTACCTATCTTTTCTGAATTTTGGCAGTCCTGAAAATTTCGTTGGTGACAAATGATGGCCGCCTTCAAAACCTCCAATTTCCATGTAGTTTGGCATGTTCATTAGTGTTTTTCGTTCTGGGCTTTCTTCATAATTTTTGCAACCAATGCATTTGCAAATAGAAGAACACATAATTTTGGCCTGGTAACATAAAATGCTTTAATAAAATTAGGTTGCCCTACAATTCATCAAAAACTGACAAAAACTATTTGGACCTTAAATAATGTTTATATTTGTGTGTGCACACAGTAGTAATCGCAATATTCACACCCAGAAAAAAAGGGAGAGGGGAGCAGTGAAGATGGGTGAGTGATGGTGATGTGAAGAGAAAGGCACATTTCTATCCACGTTGCTGCCGCCAGGGGTGAGGGGGGGAGGGGCTCCTGAAGGCAGGTGGGTGGGTGTGGGCGTGAGCCCTGAGCAGACAGCCGGGTCTCTCCCTTGCCCAGGGGCCACACAGTGAAGACTCTACCTGACCCTTGTCCTGCAGGAAGCCTGCCCTGGCCAATTCTGGAACTCCAGGAGCCCAGCCACCCTTCTCCTTCAGCACTGAGAGTGTGGTGCTGGCCCTGTGGTTGCAGAGAATGTGCTCATGGGTAAAACATGAAACCCCCCCGAGGCCAGGCCTGTGGTGGGCATTCCAGGGGGAGGGCCTTCTTTCTTCCTTACGGGGGGACATTGCTTCTTGTCATATGGTCGTGTGACACTCAGGGCCGGGGGCCAACCCCTTGAGCCAGCTGGACCTGGGGCAGTGGGAAGACTAGCTCGTTTCTGGCCCCTTCATGGTTTCAGCCCCTGGGGGTTTCCTCAGGGAAACTCAGACCTGCGTCTAAAGGAGTGTGCTTTCTTTTGCACCTCTGGGAGTTTTGAGCAGGAGGTTTTTCGGAATTTCTAGTCTGCTGTAATATCAGGCGCTGCAGGAAAGCAGGCTGCTGCCTCGGCGCGACAGCAAGGACGTGGAGAAGAGCAGAGACACCGTGAGGATGTCTGAAAGCAGCTCCACTGGGGTGAAGCCACTGCCTTCCTGCATCTCCAGCTCTGCAGTATTTTTGCCTCATTTCCAAAATGTGAGCTAGGGGATTGCTAGGTCTGCTGGATCTCCAGAATCAGGAAGACTTTACTGAAGCCTGACCTCCTATGACAATCTTCTAAAAATAAAGTTCACAGGAACATCCTCAAGAGACCTCAAGCAAATCAAAGAGAGTCTTTGCAGGAGGGGCTTCTCGGCTGCTTCATTGACAGGGCTTGAGGGTTCCCTTCCTCCCTCTTTCTTCCTTTCCCTTCAACACAAAGAAAGACAGAGAGAGACAGAAAACGGAGGTGAGTGAGGGATGAACCTAAAGGAGAAAACCAGTCCCTCTACTGCCTTTAAATCTTTTGAGGGAGAAAACAAAGCTCTGTCTGAGAACTGGTCAGCATCTCTCCAGCAGCAAAGGCAACTGTGCATTCTGGCCTCTGTCCACTCAGAAGTTGCCCCCTCAAAGCACCAGGGGAAGGCTCATCTGGGGACAAAGCTGCCCTCACTGCCCCTCCCAGAGCATCTCTGCTCTGCTCAGCGGGGCAGAAGCCCACCTCAGGGAGCCAACAGACTGCTGGCCCCCGAGGGTGGCTCCAGCATCAGATCAGCAGCCGTAGAGCGGGCAAGGCTGTGGCACTGGGCACCCTCCCAGGACACTTGGGGTGAGCTCAGTGGGGACAACATGCTCCCAAAGGAGCCCTTGCTTCATAAAGTGAAATTTATTTTTGACACATTAAGGTAGATTGATGAGTGCTCTTTAGAAGCCCTGGAAGGAAGAAAACTAAATTCTTAATTAAATTTTTAACCACAAAGTTACTTAGCCCATTTACCTGGCTTTTAAAAATAATGCTTGGCAATTGTTGACTGACCTCATAGCACTCACAGTAGTTCTTAAGGCAGCCCGACCTCTTGCAATTACATCCTTTGTTATGTCGAGGTTTCACATCACCCAGTTTTCCTTTCCCAATTTTTGGTTGGAAAGCTTCTGGATTTCTATCAAGACATGCCTAAGACAGAAAATGCAAAACTCCATCAAGATATATTTTACTACTTAAAACAATGCTTAGTGCCAGGTATCTGGCTTGCCATAACTGGGTCTAGCTGTTACTTTAGAAGTGGCCACAATGAGCAGCGGGCCTCTACCCCCGTTCTGTTCCATTTTCACTCACTTGAATACTTAAAGGTGGAAGAGTGGACGGTAGAGATGCAAAGAAAATCATGGTGTCCATGTGAACACAGCTCCTTCCCGGCTCCTGTGTGCATTGTTTCATGAGATGTTAATAGTTGGGGTCATGGCACTCTGCTACCAGATCACATTTATTAACATGCACTGTGTTCCAGGCATCTTCTGTGCAATGTATGAGCTCTCTCACTGAACCCTCACACAACCTTGTGGAGCAAACACCACCCCTCCTCTTGGTGTCTGATGGGTGAAGAAACTGAGGCGCCGAGGGGTCAGAAGATTGTGGCCCAGGGATGGCATCCGGTCTCCGAGTTCACAGCCAGCCCCAGGTCTCAACCACCTCTCTAACAAGATGACACTGTGCTCTTTATTAAGCTGAGTTGGGGCAATATGGACATCACAGCAGCAGCCTCATGCTTCCTCTCCCCTCACCATGAGCAGGGAGATCCGTCTGACACCAGAGCCTGGCTCTGCAGAAGGGCCTTTGCAGTGAGGATGCTTTGGTGTGTGTTCTAGTTTTTAGTGAAGCAGAAGGGATGGTGGAATATATTGAATTTGGGCATTTGTGACCCCCGTGTGACCCCCACCCAGGCCAGGTCAGAGGACAGCCCAGCTCCCCACCCGAGGTCCCTCATGTCTCCTCCCCATCAACACACCCCCAGTGGGAACCTATCTTCTGACTTGGGCTGCTTTAATTTTGCTGTTCTGGAACTTCAGCTGAGTGGAACCACTCCGCATGTGCTCTTGTTCATCTGACTGCTTCCATCAGTGCAGTGTCTGTGGGGCTCTCCGGGCTGCGGCACGGAGCTGGAGGTCTTCCTTTTCCATGATGTGTGGAGAAGAATTATACTATATACTGCAGACCTATCCAGCCTACCACAGGGAGGCACACGGCTTGTTTCCAGTTTGGGGCTATTAAGAACATAGCTGCTAAGAACGTTTTTGTACAAGTCCCTGGTGGACACGTACACTCATTTCTAGGTGGTGTATTTTCAGGAATGAAGCTGCCAGGTCACAGCACACACAGAGGTTTAGCTTTAGTAACTATTACCAAACAATTTTCCAAAGTGCTTGCACCAATTTACATTGCTAGCAGCTTTCCATAATTTTTAATAAAACTTTTTATACTTTTAATTGAAGATAGTTTTCTTTACCAGAACTTTTAATACTTTTAATTGCATATAGTGTATTTTCTTTAAAGAAAATACAACAACGTTGAACTTCAGATGAATCACTATTTTTTTCTGTCCTGTGGATCTGCCTGTGTCAAAACTGATTTTCAATTGATTTATCTATAAATTGAGGCAAGTTAAATTATTTTAGAAAAAACCAGATGAACCATGGCACAGAACGAGACGCTCGAGGCCAGGTCTCCTCTGGTGAGTGAGGGGCACCAAGACGCGGCCTGGGCGAGTGGGCTCTGCTCCCTTCCCCGGTGGTCCTTCCTCACGGGTGGGGCGTGGGGGGGCGTGGGGGGGGCAGTTAACCTTGCTTCTGCATTTAGTCTTTAGCAGGTGGCCTGAGGGGCTCTCCAAGGTGCTGTTCACCTCCAGATTCTCCCTTTCGCCCAAAAGCCAAGAAGAATAAAAATCAGCCAAAACTAACAATGGCTGAGAGCTTTCATCAAGGTTTCTTCACACAGTGAACCATCTACACCTTTTCAGATTATACTCTTTGGACTTAGGTTTATCTGCTACAGAACACAATCTAAATTTCTAAACCCCAAATCAAGACAGAATAGATATCTGTATGTCCTTAAACCAGAAACTTCTGGGACCCTGCTGCCCCTCTAAGCCTCCTGAAACCAGTGGAGAACAAAGGTCTTTCTCTGGCTGCCAGGCTCGCAGCAGCTTCTGGTCATGGCCAGTGCCCCCACCTTCATGAATAGAGGCCTATTTAGTGTATAGTCTTCAACACTTTTGGGTTTCCCCAGTATTGAAATTAGAAACCTGTAGAGATTGTTTTGTGAATATTCCTGGAACTTTTAAATGCATTTTTTAAATTGGAGTCTAATTGCTTTACAATGTTGCGTTAGTTTCTGCTGCACGACACAGTGACTCAGCTGTGTGCATAATATGTCCCTTCCCTCCCGGGCCTCCCTCCCACTCCCTCTCCCCACCCCACCCTTCTAGGCCATCACAGAGCACAAAGCTGAGCTCCTTGTGCTGTACAGGGAGTCCCCACTAGCCATGTGTTTTACGCGTGGCAGTGTGTATACGTTAATCCTAATCTGTTTGTCCTGCCCTCCCCTTCCCGCATCGCCCGTGTCCACATGTCCATTCCCTACACCTGTATCTCTATTCTGGTTCTGCAAATATGTTCATCTATACCATTTTTCTAGATTCCACATATATGTGTCAACATGAGTGTATTTAAAGGAAATGTTTACCTTAATGGCCTTAAACCGTTCGATTTCATGACGTAAATTGTTGCAACAATTATTACAATTGCAGTTGTTGCAAAAGTCCCCGCTAGCAAAGCAATCACAGTACCTGTGGATAAAACAACACAGCGTGTCAAAGCCACCCAGTGACGAGATGAAGACAAGCGTGTATGTACCTATAGAGAGAGGGCTGGCCGGCACGCTGGGTCACACGCCACCTTTAGTTACCTGATTCTCCTCTTTCTGTGTAAATAGATCCACTGGGATGACGTTCTCCAGTGACCAACACAGGAGAGAGAGAGTAGGGAACATCGTTGGTTTCATAGCACGGCAGTTGGCAGAATAAACAATTTCCCAGTCAGTGTCCACTGGCATCCATTACCTCCTTCCCCTAATGCCCACCGCCCTTGTTCCAGGAGAGCTGTAAGCTAGTGAGCACAGAGCCATTTTCCCATCAACCATCCCAACGCAGCCAACACCACTGAATGCAGTTCACTTCTCAGCCGACCTGCCTGTGAGGAAAGCCTAAGGGACCTAGAGGCGGCCCCAGGTCTGGCGTACTCTCACTCCCCGTCAGCATGTGGAGGCGGGAGACACGACCGGGGCAGAGACACAGGTGAGTGCTGCCACACGTGATAGCCAGGTCTTCCACGCGCTCAGAATCCACAGAATAGCAGGCTGAGTGGACCTGTCTGAGCATCTGCCTCCCACCCTGCGGCCCTGGAGTCAGACAGGCAGTGCCCTGTGGCTCGAGGGCAGTGGCCAGCACCTTCTCTGCTGTGTCACCCTTGAAGAACTCTCAGTGTTGATGGCCGTGAACTGCTTCACAGGCTCCTGGAGGAGCTTGCTCTCGTGCCACACGACCAAGGCTTTTATAGGCCTGGGGTTTTTCAGGATGAAGAGGGACAAGACATTTCCCTCAAATCATGTGAGAATTAAGTGTCTGGTCAAAGACTTCTAACAACCTACCTGTAATCTGCACCCCTGAGAGGCTTTGGGAGGCTCATCAGCCACCCCACGGCTTCAGCTTGTGACTAGAGAGGACCCATAGTGTTCTCTTCCTGAGTGCAGTTCATGGAAAATAGCTTCGTATGCAGATTTGATATCAGCTCTGCTACTGGCTTCCCATGTTACCTGACCCAAGTTACTTATGTCAGCGTCTAGAGCCAGGACGTGGGGATTCTGCCACTCGACTGCCTGGTCTCACAGAGTTGCTGAGGGAAGGCCTGGAGCCCTGGCGTGCTTCCTCCGACAGAGTGCTGCATGAAGGCAGGAGGGCCTCTGCGTCTGGCTATGTCGTGGACTAGATGCTTGCGGAAACCTTCCTGTTATGGAATTCCTAAGTACAATTATTTAACATTTATTATCTTAATGTTTTAAATAATGTGTCAAAATTCACGCCAAACAAAGGAGAGAGTAAAGGAGATTGTGGGATGTGAAAAGAAACTGTGAGTCCAGAGGGGTGAGCTCTGTAGCTGCCACGTGTTGTCCTGGTCCCTCTGCTGGTCCCTAGCGACCTGGGGCTCAAGTTCAAATTGGCCACTCCTGCAGGAGATAGTGTCTGAGCTACAGAAGGTGGGAGTTGGATCAAATGACCCCTTATAAAGTGTGAGTCCTTGAAAGGCAACCTTCCCACAAATCCACTTCACGGAGATTTCAGAGCACAGGGACCAAAAAGAAGATCCCAGAAGGTTCTAGAAACAATAATACAGGTTTCATACAAAGGGTGAGAAAAAAATTTCAAAACACCACCGGAAACTAGAAGAAAATGCGGCAAAGCCTTCCAAATCCTAAAGGAAAACTTAATTAGTTGAAGTTGAAAATCCTACCATCCATCCAAAGTGATCATCTTAGTGTGAGGAGAGACATGACACTTTCAGACAAGCGCAGTCTGAAAAGACTCTCTCCCAGCACTCTTGGCTGGGAAGCTGCTGGAGGACATGCTGCCTGAAAACAAGGCAGTGAATCAAGAATGAGGAAGATAATGCTATCCAGGGGCCAGGGGGTCAGATACGAGGAAGAAGCGAAGGAAACCCTGGGACGGATGCTGGAAGGAGGGTCCACAAGGAGAACTGTACCTAGGGCTGGAACCAGCCCCTCAGGAGCGGGACCCTGTCGGCTGCGGGAAAGGCTTCCTCCAGGCCAGGTCACTGCATACCTGTGTGCTCGCACATGTTGAGAAAGCACTTACACAAGCGGAGGAGAGTGAAGGGTTAAGTTAGTGTCAGGTGCGTTTAAAAGCTAAGTATTAACGGGAGGGAGAAGAGAAAGAAGTTGAGGAAGCACACTAATCAAGCCTCGCTACTGATCTAACAAAGTACACCTGATTTCTGGGAACAGGCCACGTGCATGTTGGGAGGGGGTTAGGCGTGAGTAGGAAGAGGAAACAGCTAAATCCGCCTCTTTCGTAGCACAAAAACAAGAGATCCCGCCAAGACTGAGAACTCAAGAAGCAGCGGTGCAGCCAAGCTATCTAGATTACGGAGGCAGACACTAAGAGATTTGGTTAAGGGCTGAAAGCGTCTGGGGATCGGAAGATAAGGGGAAATTATCAGGAACTACTTTTTTTGTCATGAACCTTGTATAATTATTAGACTTTTTTTTTGACTGAGCCACACAGCTTTCAGGATCTTCCCTGACCAGGGCTCAAACCCAGGCCCTCAGCAGTGCAAACGCAGCGTCTTGACCACTGGACAGTCAGGGAATTCCCTATTTGGCTCTTTAAACTATGTACATATGACCTGGATAAAAGCAATAATTAAAAGCCAGAAATGATAAACTGAAAGATAAAGAGTTAGGTCCAGATTCAGCATAAAATGACAAAGAAGTTAGAAACATGGGAGAGAAGAAGAGAAATGGCCCTTAGTTAGGGGGTCACATATATCTGATAAGCATTACAGGACAGAAAAGAGAAATAGAAGAGAGCTATTCTTGGAGTGAGGATACCTGTGTTTCCCAGTTGTGGGTTCTCAGATTTCAGAAAACTAATGAACCTCAAAAAAGTAAATAAAAAGAAAAATCAAAGATAAAAAGAAAATTGTAAAAACACCAGAGAGAAAAGACATTACCTAGACTGACCACTGACTCTGTGTTAGAAATAATGGAAAACAGTAGAACAATATTTTTATGCATGGAGAGGAAAAAATGGCAATCTAGAATTTTATACCTAGTCAAGCTATGTCTAGTCACTGAGATCCAAGCCAGGCACACTTCTTTTACTGCTCTACACACTTTGCTGGGTGATTTTATTTACTGGCTACTTTTTAAAACTTTGGGCTTCCCTGGTAGCTCAGTTGGTAAAGAATCCACCTGCTATGCAGGAGACCCCAGTTCGATTCCTGGTACAGGAAGATCCACTGGAGAAGGGATAGGCTACCCCCTCCAGTATTCTTGGGCTTCCCTGTGGCTCAGCTGGTAAAGAATCCACCTGCAATGCAGGAGACCTGGGTTCCATCCCTGGGTTGGGAAGATCCTCTGGAGAAGGGAACAGCTACCCACTACTGGCCTGGAGAATAGGCCTGCAAAGAGTCGGACATGACTGAGTGACTTTCACTTTCTTTTTAAAAAACTTTATGTAGCATATTTGTAAATTTGTGTCACCAAAGTCTCATTTTCTTCTTTCCCAAGCATCAGGAAAGGGTTTCCTCACTCGCTGCTCATCCTTCCTCATCCCCATCCATTCTTTAACCTGCGGCTGTCGGACCATCTTCCTGCCTTCCTCTACCTCTCAAAGCTGGTCAACAGCCTCCTTAACCAGAGAGTGCAAGGACCTCTGCACTGCATTTACCTCACAGCAGTGTGTGACACTATTAGGCTCCAGAACAGTTTCCCTACTGTCTATCAGACATTTCCACCTTCAACTTAGGGTGTCCACACCTTAACTTCTGACCTTCACCTTCAGTCTTCACCCCGCTCTTGCTGTAGTCTCGCTGCATTTGTGGTGTCATCACCCACCCAGTGACATGACCCTGAGTCATTTCTGATGACTACCTTTCTCTCTTTTCTCATATCCAGGAGGTTACCAAGTCTTCTGATTCTGGCTCAGAAATGTCTTTGCTAATTGTATTCTTGATACAAGAAAATAACATTTGTTGTAGTTTTTAAGAATATAAATAAAAAGAAAAAATTAAAATAATTTAGAATCCTGCTCCCTAGAGATGACCATTTGGTGAATATATTTCAGAGTTTGTCCGTAAAACTATGCAAGCAAGCAAGCAAAGTCACCCAGTCGTGTCCGACTCTTTGCAACTCCATGGGCTGTGGCCTACCAGGCTCCTCCGTCCATGGGGTTTTCCAGGCAAGGGTACTGGAGTTCCTTCTCCAGGGGATCTTCCTGACCCAGGGATCAAACCCAGGTCTCCCGCATTGCAGACAGACGCTTTACCCTCTGAGCCACCAGGGAATATTGCAAAACTATGCATGTTATCAATAACTACATGCTGCTTTGTTACATATGATACATAAAAACAAGATCATATTCTATACAGTTTCAATGTGATTCCACTATGTATCAAAGTCAGTAATCAATAAGACAGCTTGCTTTTATTGCTTATCAGTATGAGTTAATATCACACATAGATTCACGCGGCTGTAATGACTACACTGTATCCCACTCTATAGTAACACCACTACAGAGTGATCAATAATTCCCCTTTGCAAATGGCACTGGCCTCCTTTCTGTCCCCAGAACCCTGTGCCCTCTCTCTCTTGCCACGTGGTCTTTGTACCCGCTCTTTCCTCTGCCTAGAATGCTCTTCTGACCCACTTGGAATCCACCTCTGCCTCACTAACCCCTGATCAACTCCTCATCCCAAACCCCTTCCTCCCTCAGGAGAACCTTCCCGGGGTCATGCGCGGTCGGTGCCCCATTGCCCTCTGCCCATTGCTGCTCCTTAGCCATACACCCACCACGACCTCTGCGAGTGTGACTGCTCTATTCACGTCTGTCTCCCCAGCTGGACTCGGAGTGTCAAGAGGGCAGGGACCATAACTTATCTTGTTAATTTCTGTTTTCTTTATCCCTGAAATCATAGGAATCAAAAATATTTGTGGAATGGATAAATAAGAGTGAAAAATGTATACGTCTTTTTATATACAGTTTGAAATGTC